TGTTTATCTCGCCAAGTTTGCACAGAAATCTGAAGAGTAACGGTTTCGCTTTTGCAGAAGATCTGTCTCTTTGGAGAATCTTCCTCTTTAGCGGATTTCTCATTCGGTCGCGAAGTACGATGACGCCTTTTCTTCCGAGTGTCATTTCCTGGTCTTCGTGAAAGCCAGATATTTCCAAGTCTGTATGCAGCGTGTCAAGCTGGCGCTGTTTAGCTGCGTCCTCTGAGGCTGCTTTCAGGGCAGCTCGAATTGTAGGCAGGCCTTCGGAGAAAGTTGAGCTAATCTTTTTTGAGAGTGCGGTGTGTCTAAATGACACTTTTGATCAGAATCGCGCAGGTTTCCGGTTTCCGAACCTGGTATGGTCCACGTAACGACTTTCACGACCAGCTGATGTATAAGTCAGTGTTCTCATCATCCCGAACGATTCTGACACCTAAACATGGAACGCGTGGTTGGCACGATGAGAGCCGACCCATAATCTAGCCTGGACCGCGCGAGCAGGAAAAGGGGACCCAGTTGCCACTACCACACTGCACTTTATCGTGTTCGGGGAACAGGACTGCAATCTGAGAAAGAAAACAAATTATACCAGCTTACCATCAGCGACAGGCCATCCTCGGTAGATGGTGCTGAGTATAGAAGTAGCAGCGATGGTAATTGCTTGTGAGAGAATAAAGTCAGACCTCAATTGAACATGAAAGTAAAGATGAGCTGATGAGGTTCTGTGGATCTCCATCACTATAAATTAGGTGTGATAGCACAATCGTCTCATAAACACAGGGAATGAAGCTTCTGACTAGCTAACCTAGACCAAATAGCTGCGATTCCAAAACTGAATCTGCCAAGGCCAGTAACATATCGAAGCACAGAGAAATGGCTTCTCGAACCGTCTTTTCGTAAATTTCACTTTTACCCTGGAAATTCTTGTGTGAAATCTCAGAGTGAACCAAAGAGGAAGGGAGTGGCTCATCCTCCAGCCTGAGTTTACCTTTTCCTCGTTAATTTTATCCATCACTGCCACCTTTGTAGTCAAACTTATCACCATTGCATCGATCGTATCCATCTGGTTCTGCAGAGTGTCCGGTAGTCGTCGTTCAATCTATAATAGAATGGAAACTCTAACAAAAAAATGAACGTCAGAAATCGACCTACGCTTTGTCCCAAGGATACCCTTCGACTCTCTTCATCAGCAAGAATATCAGCGAACTCTTCCAACTCTGTTATGCCGTCGCTGATCTCTTTAAAACGATCGAAGATCTGCAAATCACTGAGATCTTTTCCCATGATTAGCTCATTCGTGGACTCTTCACTTACACTCCTTATGGCAGAAGCAAGATCAGTGCTAAGCTTGGCTCGCTTCTCGAAGTTTCCCCCGCTCCATTCAGCATCCAGTCTGAATAAGTGTAAAATGTAAACCTTGTCATAACATGAGGCAGCAGTGAAAGAGAGTTACATCACTTACCTATCGCTAAGCTTGTCCAATGTACTTCTTCAGATCCGTAAGAAGGTATCGCCTCGACCAAAAAGGAAAGTCATGGAACTGTCGTTCGACTTCCAACATCGTTGCTATCCGGGAGAGGCCACCATACTGAGGTTTCAAAACATCAGAATACATGTGTTAGTTACATTGTACCCAAGTACCTGCTTATCTCGGTAATCGGAGTAATGGTACTTTCTTTACCTGGAAGCGAAGAGGTAAAGCCGACGTAGTACCACAGCTCAAAACCACTCGTGTGACCCTATTGTCAATTGTGGACTGATGAACATGAAGATTGGTCGGAACAGGAGCAAATGCAACACGGTGCTTTTCAGTCGATTTGCGGAATGACGGACCCTAAAATAGTATGCTCAACGAAGAATGGATTCGAGAGGACTCGAACAATTGGTAAGATCCTTACTGACGGAATAGTTTTCCAGAAATTCAGAGCACTGCTCCAGAGTTTCAGTGTTCGTTCTGATTTCCCTCAGCACATCGAATAAATAAGGAAGAGCAAAGGAAGGCCAATCGTGTTGACGAGACTCGAGAAGGCAGGAAAACCTGGGAAATGGCCCAAAACTTTGTAAATGATTCCTCTTCTCTGGAATTCACTCACTCCACTATCCATTTCTTGTAAAACTTCACCAGCTCCAGTGGCAACGCAATGGATAACTTGGATTCTGACATGATCTCCTCGAATGCGACACGTCGTGAAGGAAGATTGTTCTGCTGAAAATCTCACTCGAGGGACGTTGTTGGAGAAAAAGTAAAGGAAATTAAGGGCAAGACGTTGTCAGTAGTGTCAGCTAACCTATAGAAAGCACAACCTGCCTGGGATATAGCGAAATGGTGCGTGATCTTATATGGGTTCGTAAGATAGAAACTATGGATAGTATCAAAAGAACTGTCCGAGTCTTGCTTTGTTCCCATCGTATAGAACTTGTACGCCGTCTCATCCAGTTGGGCTCGCGCCATCTGGTGGGAACATGTAGCCATCTGAAAGGGACTGTGAAGGTTCAGAAGCTTGAACTGTAAGAAATCTCACCTTGATCATCCATGCTTCCCTCATTTTCTCAGAATCGAAGCGCAAAATAAGATCATCCTTGGAATCAGGGAATGATACCACACATGCGTACGGAGAATCCTGAAATTTGTGGTTTGTTCTCACTGCACGGGATTTCGAATGACAAAATACATAACAGTAGCGAGAAGGTATGCAGCCCACTAAAACAACAGATGGCAGTTATTAGGTTGTCCGGAAAGTTCTCAGCGTTTTGAGTGTTTCACTTTAAACGATCATAACTTTCTTAATACTCATCGGATTTAATCGAAATAAGCACCGTTCGAATCAGCACACTTTTGCCAATGTGACACCAGTCGATAAATCCCATCAAAGAAAAAACTGGGTGGTCGAGAATCACGAAATCCACGAAGGCTTTTTGCCTGGTCCTGATTGATGAAGTATTTTCCAGCAAGGAAGTTCTGAAAATGTTTGAAAAGGTGATAGTCGGTTGGTGAAAGGTCTGGAGAATATGGCGGGTGAGGTAGAACTTCAACCCCCAATTCGTTCAATTTATGGATAGTGATTTGTGAAACGTGTGGGCGGGCGTTGTCATG